TTTTCTTAAGATAAAAGAAACAGAATTCATGTGCCTGCCCTTTTTTAAAGACTTTTAGGATTTTAATATTTGGAAACAGTAAAACAATACTGTAGTAACTAATGAAGCAATATAACCAAAGTGCTAATGCAAAGTGCACAGGCATTCTGTCATGCCATTATGTTCCTGTCTACCATCCCTTTACCTGGCTAATACTTCCTGCCCCTGAATTTTGTTTGTACACATGAGAACTTCCTATGGGAGCAAGTCCTTCCCTGACAGAAAAGGAGAAAGTTGTATATATCTTTGGATAACAAAGCAAGGAAAATTGGTAGAAGCTATTAAGAAAAGTTTGGCTTCATAGAAGTATGAAATTTTATTAATAAAACTGTGTAATTTAACATCCTGTTTATCAAAAATCTAAGATTCATCCCTATTTCTATATTCTTCCTACATACAGAAATATTCTTTCTACATTCAGAATACTTTAAACCCAAACACCTTCCAGTGTACAGTATTATTGTCCAGCACCTTATTTATTTGTGTATATTAATACAAATTACCTGGTATCATTATCTGCATTATTATTTTATATAAAATTATCCACATATACATACGTTTCTTTGCTTAACATTGTTTTGTTTATTTCATCTGCTAGGACCATAATCAATTTGTTTTTCTCAAAATCGATCCATTAGATGTTCATCCACTAATAGAAAGGGTCTACTGGGTATAAGATTTGGTACTTTAAATAATAATGTCCTTCCTTTACATTTTCCTTCAAAGACACCACACGTCGCTTATTTCTCCTACATGAATTTCTGGAATCTTGAGAAATTGAACTAAGCCATGTAGAAACTTATAGAACATTGTTTTGTGTTTTTTCTACTAAACTCTTGAATAGAGCCAGCTCTGCATAGCATACTTTTCAGAACTATATTCTGTTTCTATTTACACTTCATCCCATCTTACCACACCAGCTACAGACAGCTCAGATTGTAAATAATAAAAATTGGTCACCAATTTCTTTCTCTATGGTTCATTATAAATATTCCATCATTTAAATTAAGTAATGTCTTTTGTTTAATTATTTTTTTAAATTACAGGTGACATATAATATTATATTAGTTTCAAGGGTACAACATAGTGATTAGACATTTATATAACTTATGATCACCCTGATAAGTCTAGTACCCATCTGATATAATTCATAGTTATTGCAATATTACTGACTATATTTCCTATGATCTACTTTGTATCCTCATGACTATTTTTTATAACTGACTCTTAACAGCTCTTAGTACTTATCCTTCCTAGTAGAATTGGTGATACCAAGAAAGGGTAGGGACTAGGGAGCAAGTTTTACATAGAGTCTTAAGTGAGGAATTCAAGGTTCTAGGTAATCAAGGTTATTAATTATTTCTGAAAATGCTTTCACTATTTTTATGTCTCTTATTTCAGTAATAATATGAAGCATAGATTTCATATTATAATCAAGAATTAGCAATTATCTTACCAATTATATCCTCACTAAGTAACTTCATCTTTATAAATATTGGTCTGTATGTTTTGATTACTAATTGGCTCTATATCTGCATGCCACCATTAAGTCAAGAATACAATATTTCACTTGTCTCTTGCCAACTTTTATCATATCTAAAATTGAACCTCTGAAAATACAAGTTGTGCATTTAAGTTAAAATGTGTACTGTTGACCAATTTTCTATAGAAGAAGCACTAATCATAATAAAAATGATAGCCTTAACATGCTCTTAGGTTCAAAGAAAACAAGGGCAGGCATCTGGCCTATGTACTTAAGCAAATCTGGCTTATAACATATTTTAGATGATTTAAATCTAATATAATTTATATCATTGCCCTCTTCCTTAATAATTCAAAATTTTAAATCTTTCTGAAGAAGTAAAATATTTAAACCCTTTAAATCTATTTTATGTTACAGGATTTCATTAAATCACTGAGGATAATTTTTTTATGTAAAAGATGTATAATAAATAGCTTCAGGACATTTTAAAAATGTATTTTTAGATACATGGAATTAAAATATTTTTATTCTGATCGAGAGTACTAGTCTTATAAAAACAAAATATTGAAACTATTGAAACAAAAGTTCAAAAAACAATACTTAACCTATCTAAATAGAATTTAATAGAATTTATTCTAATGTGTTGCATCCAGTGCTATGACACTATGACAATCCATTTCTACTCCAGTCTATCCCTCCTTCCTGTTTCCTCTCCCCTCCCCTCCTTTCCTCTCCTCTCCTCTCCCCTCCCCTCCCCTCCTCTTCTCTCCATAATGTTGAGAATAACATACTGATTACATTTTTTAACTTACTAAAGGGTCACAACCAATAGTTTGGAAAATGCCACCTTTTTAAAATAAATATATTTGAATTACATGGATACATTACATATTTAGAAAGTTATTACATAGTGATATGAACAATTCCACTTATTAAGGAAAAAAACTCTAAAGCTTGGCTAAAATATGATAAGAGTTATACAAATCAAGTTCAGCATCTTAGATAATTTAAGATCCTAGACAATTAGAACTACTACATAATCATAATTCAGCTGTCAGACAGTTTTTCAAGTTCTATAAACTCAGCATTATAAATAATCTTCTACTCATGCTGCTAAAAATCCTTTTGTAACCTATGTCTTTTAACCTTTATAGTCTTTTTTCCCCACCATTCTTCTAGCCTATGCTATCTCACTCCAACAAGTACAGAACTTTTCAGATAATGTATATTTTGTTCTTTTCAAAGATAACTGAGGGAATTAAAAATAACTGAAATGAATCTAAAGGCTAACATAGGCAGTTAATAACTCTCTTTCACTAGCATACAGTGTTCAAAGATTACAACCTATAAATGCCAAGTGTATTTCATAAGTAGTTTTATAGTTTAGCCATGTTGAAAGAATTGGAAAGACATGGATTTTCCTGAATGTGTTTAGAGCTTCTAAGATCTAATTATTCATCATCATTGTGGATTCTGTCAGTATTCACTTATGTGGTTCATAGACATATATATTTGCTTAGAATTATAGATTTAGTTTTACATTGACATTTCCACCATTAAAGGCATCATAAAGCAGTACTGAAAATGATGTCTTACATGAATATTATTGGAATGGTCAGAATATGATAGTTTATGTACATTAATCACAGGTGCTCAATGACTATTTGTCCAATATAACTGGATTCTCATAAGCTTTGTATTTCTTCCAATACCCAAGATGGGAAACTCAGTTAAAACTATAGAAGTCTTTCTTGAATTTATTTGCATTATATCTTTTTTGGAAATAGATTTTCACTATGAGTAATAAGGTAGCTATTTTTAAATACTTTTCAACAAATAATATTAGCATATATTCCAGAACAGCAAATGGTTATATAAATAATAACAATTGTATTAGTAAATAAAAAATAACAATAATGTGCCTTTATCTGCATATTTTCTAATTTAAAAAAATGACATGCCAGAGTTAAACACGTACGCCTTCTTCATTTGCCATGCTATTACATATTATATGTAAATTTTGTTTACATATAATCCTAAATAGCTTTTTACTAGTGCTTATAATTTTTGACTTATGAGTTATTTTATCATTAGTACTTTCATTTATAAATTGTCTTTTTGCAGTAAATTTAGAGAGAATTGATTGTAATAGTCTAGTTATGTCACATTATCATCATTCTTACTGGACACTTTAAAAAGTAATATTTTAAAAACAAAATAATTGCTGGATATTTCTTTAATAATACTCTTAATTTATTATTTATCAAGTTTCTTTGTTTAAAAGTGGATCACATAGTCAAGAATTAAATTTTCAATAGACTTTAAAATAACTTAGAATTCATTTTAGAAGAAAAGAATTATATTCTGGTAATTTTAGTATGGCAGTATATAATGAAGATTTTGATTTCCTTATCCAGATAGAATTCTTTAGTAATCTATTTATTCTTAATGGTAGTATAAGTAGGAGACACTAAAGTGATGTCTCTACTATGATCAATATGCCCATAATATTAAAAGTCAATAATACATATTATTCAGATAAAGTGCCTTACTCTTAATAGAGACAGTAACCCACTTTCACATGCCAATATTAAATACATTTTACATGAGCTCAAAGTCCTCCATTTTTTTTATCTTCACCCAGGGATATGTTTATTAATTTTAAAAAGAGAGAGGAAGCCAAATAGCTGGTTTGGCTCAGAGGATAGAGTGTCGGCCTGAGGACCAGAGGGTCCCAGGTTAGATTCCAGTCAAGGGCAAGTACCTTGGTTGCAAGCTCCTCCCTGGGCTGGGCCCTGGACCAGGCTCCTGCAGGAGGCAACCAATCGGAGTATTTCTCTCACATCGATGTTTCTGTCTGTCTTTCCCTCTCTCTTCCACTCTCCCTAAAATCAATGGAAAAATATCCTCGGGTGAGGATTAATGAGAGAGAGAGGCAGAGAGAGAGAGAGAGAGAGGCAGAGAGAGAGAGAGAAACATTGATGTGAGAGAGAAACATTGACCAGTTGCCTCCTCTACTCGCCTTGACCAGGGATTGAACCCACAACTTAGGTGTTCCCTTATGGGGAATAAAACCCACACCCTTTTTGGTGTATGGGATGACACTCCAACCAATTGATCCACCAGGCTGGGGCAAGTCTTCCAGTTTTAAATGAAGATGTTTAGGCTATTTACTGAAGAATAACTTGTACAAAGTGCACAAGTCATACATAGATCACATACCTTGTACATGTCCACAGAATGGATGCATCTACATACCCAGTCCCTAGATCTAAAAGCAGAAAATCACCACCCCTTAAGCTTCCGTCTTGCTTTCTTCTCAGCACCCTGCAAGGCTAACCACTATTTCCATTTCTGACAATAGATAACCATTTTACTCACAACCTAAAATCTAATCTGTCTTCCAATGAAAATTTCTAGATTTTAAAATGTGTTTTACATTTGTACTGACAGTTAAATGTTATTTTTCATTTAATAGATCCTAAGTGGTGCCCTTCCCGAATTGGCCTGCAGCTAGAACATGGTAAGAGCCAACTTTCACTTATGTATTCATTTAATCTGGAATCCCTTTTTTGTCATCAATAGCTCATATTTATCACTCTTTAAATGGCAAGCATTGTAGTAAATGCCATAAATATATTATTACATATGATCCTTCCAACATGCCAGTGCTCTACTTTTATGAATGAGGAATTTTAGTCTCAAAGAGATAACTTTGCCACTCACTGTCAGTAGTGCATTGGAGGCGGGATCTGAACTAATATGTTTCTGTCTCTAAAGCTTTTATTGATCTAATAGAGGCCCGGTGCATGGATTTGTGCACTTTGAAAGAAAATTAATTAGAAGAAATATTTTAATATTGCTATTCACCCTTTCTCTATAATAGAAGTGTCAACCAAATTCATGATCGACAATGACAAATGGAAACATAGGCGTGCTATTGGTGCCAGTGAGAGCTTTATATATATAGATAAACTTGCTTAATTAGACCTGCTTTCTGATTTAGCTAAACTTTTTCCAGCCCAATGAAGCACCCCAACTTCTCTTTCAGGTAATTGTCAGCAACACAGCAGTAAATATCAACACAAAGCAGATTATTATTATAGATCATGCAGGGAGAACAAAGGGTGAAATATTTAACTGCAGCAGTGTTTGACTATATTCTGCACAGTGAGAAAACCCGAAGTCATTTTCAAGTCTACCATTTCTTACTTCTTTTCAGTTGGGTCAAGTTTCTAAACTTTCTAAATCTCCGTTTTCTGGCTAATGAAAAGAAAATAGGATTCTACCAAGTCTCCTATCTACCTACTCCAGGACCTCTGTGAGGATCAAATGAAATGAGGCACAGGAAAACACTTCATAGACATTTGCTTAAAGTGTAAAATATTTGCACCTGGCTATAAAGCAAGTCGTGTTCCTGGGCTGAAGAAACTGCAAGGAGGCTAGTCACTAGGGAGAGGAAGCTGGGCGTTGCTATGTGACATCATTACCCAGCACCCACAGTGACCATTTCTGGGCTGGGCTGGGCTGTGGGCCGCATTTTGTGCCATGGGTCTCAGCAACATTGGCTGTGATTTGGTGGGGTATTGCTCCAGGGTGGTGGCGGGGCCTGTGCCCCACTTGGGGGAAGCTGAGTGTTGCTTTGTCAGCGCCAGGTCTGAAATGTCGTTTCTTTGTAAATGGCCAGCATACATTACGACAGCTCCTGCATTGAGTGTCCACCCCCTGGTGGTCAGTGCATATCATAGCGACCAGTCAGACAGTTGGAAGACACTTAGAATATTAGCCTTTTATATATATAGATGCTTCTGCCTTCTATTATGTTCTGAGGAATACAGATTATCTCTTTATCTTTTTTTTTCCAGTTTTTGCTATATTAAACCATGATAAGTGAAGTAAACAGGAGCAGAACCAATTAAATTACAGGGGGGATTATTATATCCATTATTAAGCTTTAAGTTTCAATTCCTATTCTCTATTTTAAAAATTGACAAAAATATAATAGTTAAAAATGAGTCCTGCTAAGAATCACTGCTATTGACATTGGACTAACAAGCCCCTGAAATTTGATTTGTTAAATAAAAGTTGTGGATAGATTGTAAATTTTAGAGGAATACTTAAAGTCCATAATAATAAGGGGCATCTTAAGAAATTCCAATCTCTAAATTTTTCAATACAATGGTGAACTGCATTTTTTTTCTGGTGCTTTTTAAGTATTTGGACTACCATTTTTCAGATAACATATTCAAATATGGACACATAATGACTTCCTTGCATCTCTCTCAGATGTTGCAGTTGTTCTCATTGCTATGGTAGACATTCCTCCTTTGCCTGAGACCTCTATCTTGAAAACAAAGAAATCCATGTTAGAATCACATGTTCTTGATAGTCTCGAATTCTTCCAAGTTCAAATGTTCAAGACAAATTCTCTTCTGGCCAGAGTTTAAAAGGGAAATCATTGTCTTGTTTATTTTTGTCTTTGCAGGGCCTAGTATGTGCCAGGCACATAAATGCCTTTCAACACATGGATTGTGAAATAACAGAAAATGAAATAGGAGTAGTATTTTCTGAAATTGACTCATATAAAGAAGACTCTGAGAATGTCACAGACATCAATGTCAAATGTAATTGCAATTTGAAGGACACTATAAGGGACTGGGAAATATGTGTTAGTTCAAACTTCCTGGTAAATGTGAATTTTTTACTTTCCCCACACATTTATTTACCTAGTTGAGTGTACCAGTATGTGATCTGAATGAAATACAGCCAAGTGTCCTTGGATATGAATGTGATGATGTATTAAAAAAGAAAAAAAAAGAGTCAATTAACTTAGTAAGATAAGCATACTATGGTTCAAAGAAGAGTTTATTTGGAGTAACTCAGAATTTTAAACCTGACTCTCTGCTTACCTATCTACAGAGTCTTTTTTGTAAAGTGGAGCTGATAAAGAACTTATTTTTTGTAAGATTTTATTTATAAAACACTGTTGTGACGATTTGCACATGGTAGATGCTTTAACAATCATAGTTATAACTATAAACACAGTTATAATATTAAGAAAAAAAGACTTAACAGCAAAATTATTCAAGGCCTGAATATTTACATATATATTTACATATATAACAGAATATATTTGCCAGAATGATTATACTACAAACAATGATATCATGTGAATTTAGTCTTTTACAGTTTCCCCACACAAAACTCTTCACTAAAACATAAATAAATTGCAAGCATTGATTTTTATGGGGTAAACAACAAACATTTATTGAGTTCAATGGCTCTGCTGAGCTTGGGTAGATGGAGTTGGCCTTACTTGGCTAGGCTTACTAGTAGTCATGCAGCTGTAATCAGCTGATGAGTTGTTGGGGACTGATTGTTCTAGGATATTCACAATTGCAACCACTGCTCTAGTTCTATGTGGTCTCTCATGCTTCAGGAGAGTGTTATGAAGTTGTTGTCATGGTGGAGTCAGGGGTATAAACAAATAAGGACAAGCACTCAAGAATTCCTGAGGCCCAAGTTTGGAACTTGCATCTGATTCCTTGCCTTGCATTGTGTGTGCTAGAGCAAGTCACTGGTCTAGCCCATATTCAAAGGGTGAGGAAATAGACACCAATTCTTATTCAGAGGAATTAAGAGTCATATTGTAAGTTGATGGATATGGAAATTGTGAAGAATCGCAGCCATGGTTGCAATAAATCTGTCATACAAACTGAACTCAAATGTGTGCTCCCTTCTCACTTCATTAATTGTCAGGACTTCATAATGTCCTGGAAGTAGAAGGTTGAATTTCTGATTCTCGGAATCATTGGCTTTCGACAATAGAAAGGTGAAGCATGGGTAAAGTTGGCCCATGTCTTCCTATCACTGCTCCAACCATCCACACCCTTTATACAACAGCTTTGACAAACCCTTAGGCTCAGAGGTATACACCTTAGTATCTGGACCCTTAATGAGAGGAAATGCCCATGGAAGATATATTGCTTGAGTTAACTTATGCAGAAAACGCAAGGGCCTTAATTGGCTAAAGTGACATAGGAAATAATGGTATGGGTTCACATTAGACATGTTCTCTTGACCCCACATATTCCTCTCCCTTTGGAAAAGGACATAGGCATGGAACACCAAAGACAGGGGTCCCTGATAACTGAGTCTAAGAGTGGTATAATCTATCTATCTATCTATCTATCTATCTATCTATCTATCTATCTATCATCTATCTCTCTCTCTATCTATCTATCTATCATCTATCTATCTATCTATCTATCTATCTATCTATCTATCATCTATCTATAAAAGCCTACATGACCATTATGACCTGATGACCAGACGACCAGCCTATAGCTATGACATTCACTGACCACCAGGGGGCAGATGCTCAACACAGGAGCTGCCCCCTGGTGATCAGTGCACTCCCACAGCCAATCTCCCGTGGCTGGCCAACTTCCTGTGGTCCCTCCCCCCACCTGGCCTGCCTGATCGGCCCTGATCAGGACTGCGTGAGATGGTCTCTATCAGCCCCGATCACCTGCCAGGCCAAGGGACCCCACCCATGCATGAATTCATGCACCAGGCCTCTAGTTAATGATATGTCTGGATTCTAGCAGATTGTTTTATTCACATATCATATTGATGGAACCACATTTTAAAACATAATGACAGCACTCTGCTCCTTGAAGTTAGCAAAAAATAGATAAAAGAGTAGAAACTGATCGCCTCCCCAAGGATGTCTATAGGGCCATGTTGGAAAGACGTTTTCACTACACTTTCAAGGAATGAAATGCCATCAGAATTCTTTCTTTTTTCATTATTAACATATCATGTTGTTATACGTGATTGTCACACCAACATTGCTGACCATTTGGATATCAAAGTCTTTACCTTGATATATGCTTCCCATTGATGTGCAACAAATTATCACAAATTTAGCAGCTTAAAATAACACTAATTTATTAGCTTGAAGACACAATGTGGCTGGATTTGCTGCTCAATAACATTTGCTGTATATTTCTCTAACTACTTTGAAATTCTGGAGTGCTAGAAAGTTCTGTCTTTGTTTCCATTGTCTTCTTTTAAAACTGAATACATAAATAACGTCATCAAGCCTCATGATTTTAAATTTTAATGATTTTCAAGTACCTATAGAAACATCTACCCAACTGCCTACTGAACAGCTCCCACTTACTAGTAAATGTCTGACTGTTATCACACACTTACCACACCCTAACTAAAATCTTAATTTTTATCCACAAATCCTGCTCCTTTCTCAATCTTTTTCATGTCAGTTAATGAGGTTGCAATGCACCTAAGTGCTCAGGCCAAATATCTAAGGCCAGTATCTCACTGAATCCTTTCTTCTCAAGTTAAATCTACTCTATGTTTAAAATATATCTGTGACTGATGAATTTTTAACATTTACACAACTGCCACTTTAATCCAAACAAACATTATTCACCTCTTGACAAATTCTAAGTTCCTCCTAAATAATCTCCTTGCTCTTTTCCTCCCTTTTTCACACAGTATCCACTGTGGTCTTTTTAGAAGGTAAACCCTGCCACTCCCCTGGTGCTTTGCAATAACCATTGAAATCATTTTATCCCAAATAATTTATCCTAGAATAAAATCATTTAGAGAACAATTGAGATGTTTATGTACTGACACCCAAAATTATACTTTAAAAGTACCTTATATCATATTTTATCATGACATTGTCTAATGTTACATTTTCTTAGAACACAATAGGATATTAGCTATTGGCAGTCTACTATGTTTAGATAGCATTGGAAAATTACTGTGCATTTGCAAATTTGCTAGATATATTTTATAAAATGGGTATATTCACATTTTATTTCGCTTCAAAAATATACTATACATCATGATTTCTGTGTTAAATTCATCTTAGATTTTGTTGGTTGCTCATAAAATTTATTTATCACTTTGCTTTGAAATTGTATTAAAATAATATTTCTTATTATTTAAGGTGGGCCTTTTCTGAAGGACTACATAACCATTCAAAGTGTTGCGGCATCCTCCATTGTCACACTCTATTTTACAGACCTAGGTCGGCAGGTCAGATGGACTACAGTAAGTATCAGTTTAAAATGCAACGTAAATGCCCCCACATTATGATGTGAAATATTTGCTGATGTGAAATATTTCTGTCAAATAATTTATAGTGAAACAAAATATTGTACTGAATGGTGTGTTAAATTGTCCGTATTTACTATGAGCAGTGGCTAACATTCCATACAAGAATTGGAACAATGGAAGAAGGAACAATTGAAAGAAGGAAGATAAATTTCTTTTTATATGTTAGTCTATCCAGTGACTGATGGCCTCATTTCTGCTCCCTCTATGCCTTGTCAGTTTAAATGGTATTTATTCAGCTTTCTTTCTAGGAGTGGTGATAAAGAAGATCCTTTTTGACATTGGAAAGAAGGGAGATAAAATATTCAGTAGAAATGGTCTAACAGGGGACGGGCATTTTGGAAACTAAGAGTAAAGCAGTAAGACTTCTTTGGATGTTGTTTGGGCTCTACTTGGAGGAGAAGCTTTCAAAGTGGTAGTGATTATATCCAAGTCATTAAAAGAATGCAGACTACACTAAAAGACTTGGAGGACTCAGAAACAGAGAAAATACTTGACACCAGTTCACAAGTTGTGTGCTATTTATGAGTAATGGAATACATTCAGTAACAAGAAATACTATGTGATATTTAGAAACAGAGGCAATGAAATGTTTAATCTAATAAATACTTTTGACACTGATATACAAAGAATAATGAAATCATTATATTTTTCAGTTAAATAAAACTTATTTATATTGTTTAGACTTTAAAGATTTTTTCTGATTGTACTCTGTTAGATATCTGTGATGTGATTACACTTTTAATAATTTCTATTCAAAATGGCTTTCCCTTTTGCCAGCATTAGCAATCAAGTTTATCATCTATACTGCTTTGAGTTTTCCTTTTATCTAACAGCAATCAATTTTTAAATTATTACAAACAAGGTATTTTTTGCATTATTATTTAATTCTCAAAAAGGGAAATTCAAGTTTGTGTTCATTCATTAAAATACTGTCTCATTCTCTATTTTTCTAACAATTTCTCCTTTAACATATATAAACTTCCTGCATATTATATATGTTACATATACATTCACTTTTTTGTTACTTTAGTTTCCAAAGTTTTTTGAGCTTTTGCATATTAGTTTGATGCACTAAAAACTGAGTTTAGAATATTGAATCTTTATGAAGTGTATTATAATGTTTATAAAACAATCTATTGACAAAGGCATTGGGTAAGCAAAGGGTTTAATACTTAAATGTGGTATCCACAGATGTTTGCTAAAAGAGATTTTGAAAAGCAGATTTTTATCTGCAAAGGTTAAAATATTCAGTCTTTGTCTACATTTATGATGAAAAGGGAATTCTGTCTACAGAAGTTGTCGACAGAGTAAGTGGCATTAACTGTGAGTTCATTAGAAACCCCAGCTGCACCTTTGGATAAGCACTGAGGAGAAAAAGTGCTAAGGTGGAATTCTATGAAAATGCTACTAGAAAATTATAGCCTATCTGAGAGGATAGTCATTTAGGTGACAGAGAGAACTCTGGAAATAGACTAGATATTTTTAAATCAATCCTATCGTTCACATAACCTTTTCCTCCAAATGAGTCACTCCTATTAACTGCTAAAAATATGCACATTACCTCCGCTTTATATCAACTAAATTATAAATAAAAGAAATACTTTATCACACATAACATTCTTGCTTATTTATAAAATATTAACATGCACTCTTAGAATAGAAGCATTATCATAGTGAAGTTTTTTGTTTTGTTTTTGTTTTTTAGAAACAATCTCTTTAATTTAGCAAGGTCAATAATAACACAATATTTTTTAACAAGTAAGAGTGTGTTGTCACAGGATTATTGAGAAAATTACACTTATTGAAAGACTTAGGAGAACAGGTTAATATTATAAACTCCACTATATAAATGCTAATAACTAGACTAGACTAAAGATCTTACAGTTTTCATCATTCTACATTCATTCATATTGCTCTATGCAATTTGTTGCATAGATTCATGTATATACCAGCAATACCAGATACAGAATTTGTCCATGCCCACAGAGGACTCCTACATGTCACTCAATGTATGTTCACACACTCTCTTCCCTACCCCGAGCAACCACCAATCTGCATCTCTATATTTTTGTCATGTGGTGAAAGCTATATAAACAGAATCAGTTTTTTGAGATTGATGTTTATTTTTCTAGAAGTATATACCTTTGGGATCCATCTGGTTGTTTTAACTATCAATACTCAGCTCTTTTTTATTTAATAGTATTCAGTTGTATGGATGTAACAGAGTTTGTTTAACCATTCAGACATTGACAGACATTTGGGTGGTTTTCAGTATTTTGCTATTACAAATATAGGTATTATATTTCAGTGTATAAAGGTATTTCTGTAAACATTAGTTTTTATTATCTGGGACACAGTGTTGAGTTTCAAGAGTACTTTTTCTATTCTAGATACAAATTCTCTATCTGACATGTGGTTTATGAATATTTTCTCTCACTTTTTAACTTGTCTTTTCATCATGTTAACAAAATTTTGTTGTTACGCAAAATGTTTTCAACTTTAATGCATTCTAATTTATTAATGTTTTTTCTTAAGGATCTTGCCTTCCTTGTCATATATAAAAATGTTGCCTAGTGCTGAATCTGGCAGTTTTGCTCCTATATTTTCTTCCAGTAGTTTAATAGCTTTATATTTTACATTTTAATCATAGTTTCTTTTTATCATAAAGGATTACCTATTTTTTATTGCCAAAGTTAACATTTTCTTTTAATTTGCCTCATGTGTTTCATAATATATTTTCTGTTTTGTTTTTTCCTTGCCCAATTTTGGATTTATTCTGGTACTTTTTTTTCTTTTAGACTCCCTATTATTTTGGTAGTTATAGCTTCTTTTTTAGTAACTCTAGTGGTTACCCACATCATTACAATAAGAATCTTAAAATATTAAATAATAATATAATTTGCTTGATATAAGTTTACTAATGGGAAGAGACTTCATAGATAGTTGAACGACTTGAGCTCCTCCTGGCTTATGTCCTATTGTTGTGTTTTTCTAATTTTTATATTATTTAAAGCAACATTATATGGCCAAATTTTATTTAGATTTATCTTTTTATGACATTTTAGTTCTTCTTAATGGTGAGCTTACATGTAGAAAAATTATTCTTCCTGAATAACATCTTTAGTGTTTATTGTAGTTCTGCCACTAATGAATTCTCTCAATTCTTGTTCATGTTAAAATGTGTTAATTTAACTTTTATTCTTGAAGAATATTTTTGTAGAAAATAACCCCATATTGGCAGTAATATTTGTCTTTATTCACAAAACTTCATTATTTTGATTTTTTGATGTCCATTGTTTCTGTTAAAAAGTCTACTATATGTCTCTGAAATTAATGTGTCTGACTTTATAATTTCCTTTTGATTGATTATCAGTAGTTAGACTATGGTGCTCACAGTTATGTTTATGTTTCTATTTATCTACTTTGGTTTTAGAGTGTAATCCTGAGTCTATGGTTTTGCATATATATTTAACCTAAAAAATAGTTAGGATATTCTTTTTATCTTTTGATTCTTTATTATTCTCTTTGTAATCTCCTTCTGGGGTTCATCTTACATTTCAATATAGCTTGTTTCATAGTTTTCAAATATCTGCTAAAATTCTCAACTTTCTCTTTTATTTCTTTTTTAAAAAATATATTTTTATTGATGTCAGAGAGGAGGGGAGAGGGAGAGAGAGATAGAAATATCAATGATGACAGAGAATCATTGACAGGCTGTCTCTTGCAGACCCCCTAATGGGGATCATGCCAGCAACCTGGGCATATGTTCTTGAACAGAATTGAATCTAGGACCCTTCAGTCCACAGGCCAATGCTCTATACACTGAGCTTAATCGTCTAGGACTGTCTTTTGTTTCTTTAAACATATAAAAGACAAGTTTCTTTTTCTTAGTATATCTCTGATAATTCTGTTAGGTGAATCTTCAGTTCATCTATTTTGAATTTCTGCTCTTTCTCTTGGTTTTGGTCACAATACCTACACTTCTTGTATAACTGCATATTTCAGCCTTAGTGAAGAAAAATTTGCAAAAAAAATATTAAAGATAGCATGAGGCTGAGAGTAATGTTATCTTCTTTCAAAGGTAACTTATCATCCTACAGATGGACCAACGGCACTATTGGGTCCAGGTCATTTTAACCCAATCAGTGATTCCAGCTGAGCTTCCGTCCCTGCAAAGATAGATCTATTTCAGATTTATCTTCACTCCTATGTATGCCCCTCCCCAACATTATGTAGATTATATAAGGCCACCTCTACCTTTAAAAGATAACAAGCAACAGTTTTAAATCCTTGCATTCTCAGATACCTTCAAAAGATTTGGTGCTCTTATCAGACTGTGATTAGGCTTCAAGTCCCAGGTCAATCACTACACTAAAGCTCTGTTTAAAGAGTCTTTTAACTTTCTCATTTTTTGATGAGTTAGTAACTCTTTGAAGCCTAAAAAATATTTTTCTCACTGATCTCATTGGAATGCTTTGTTTGAATAGCCTTGAATAAAAGTCTGCATTATATGTTATTCATATAGTGGTTCAATTAAACGCACAAACAAAAACCTTCTTCTAATATCACAGTAGCTTCAATAGTACTCATTGAATGCAATGTGATATTACTATTGGGAAATGCTCTCATAATTTTAGTTTGTAGGTCTATCTTCAGAAGATTAAAGTTGGCATTACTTTATTTTCAACACCTGCAATTCATTTTGTTCTCCACTATAAATTTCCAATTTTAGAAAATAAGTAAATCCAGCAGCTAATAATTAAAAAGTTTTTTTCAAGAGAGAATGAAATGTATTAAGCACAGCTTAAACATAGGGATTCTGTTATTGCCTACTTCCTTTTTCAACTTAGACACATAGCAACTTGAATGTTCCATAGAAGTTCCAAGAAATCACAATTATCTACTTTTCCCAGTAGAAGTAGTGAATTTAATGTTTAAAGCAAGACATTAGTCTAAGACACATAACTTTCATAATGGAGAAACGTGGATGTAATTCGATATTGGAAATAAATTGAAATTTACAAGTGAAGATCTTCAGAGAAAAAAGCAAGTGCATCTGCTTTTTCTGATTATAGAAACTCTATTAAATTTTTGAATTATACTAGAGTTTCTAGGCCTTGTAAATTTGTCTGACTTGTGTGGACTAATACCTGGTATATTTGCTTATTATTTTGGTTTTGGTTTTTCTCCTTTTTTAGAGGAAGAACAATTTCTTTTTCAGAATGCTATCATTAATATTTGTCTATATAGCCCTTCTTTTTATTTATTCTGAAACCATTTTCTGATTACATTTCATGTTTATTAAAGCATATCTTCTCTCTTTTATTTGCGCCAAATAGACTTTTTCTTGAAAGATGCATTGTCCAAATGTTAGTTCTGGTCATTTCCAAGTGCTTTATTCTTGAGTACTGTTTTAACCCCATGTTTTAGCGTGAACAATACTTTTGATAGAATATCAGGCCTTCTAGAACATATTATTATAAGCTAGCTGTCTCTCTCAATTTATTTTTAGGAGAAGATGGAGAGAGGATTGAAGTTTAATTTCCTCTGATCTAAAAAAACTTCACGTTTGTGATGGCATTTTGATTAACCTAATAGAGAGTGGTGTTTGGTCCAGGTTGACTGTTGTTCACAACATTTTTCATATCTGATGTATTAGCAAGAGCATTTGCTCAAAATTGTTTTGATTAGATGGTGTTGAAATAAATATTTTAAACTTTTCCTTGTAATAAACAATCACTTTCCTCATTATTTTAGAGTATTAACTAGACTAGACTCTATTTAGTAGACATTCAAAAGTGGTAAATATTTTTCTTCATATCTGAATAACCAGGCATGTTGCATGCCATAAAGTAATATTGTCTTTCAGTAAAAAGGTTGCTTTTATACTGAACTCTTTAGATGTTGCATCATTTTACATTTTTTATTTATTGACTTTAGATATAGATAGATATAGGTAGAGAGAAACATCAAGTTGTTGTTTCACTTATTCATGCATTCTTTGCTTGATGCTCACATGTACCCTGACTATGGATTGAACCCACAACCTTGGTGTATCAGGACTATGCTATAACCAACCGAGCTATCTTGCTAGGGCCCTTAGATGTTACATTGTTTTTACCCTCATGTACAAGTCTTCTTTGTCTTCTGAGATGATAAATATTGTTTAAAGGAACAATTATAACTAGAAACACCAACATATATAAATAGCTATTTATATGTGTATGCATATATACATATAATTACATATATGTATGTGCATATATAACATATATATCATATATTATAACCATATAACTATACAAAATATTCACCAACTACTGATAAAAAAATACAAGTTGTACTTAATGTTCACAGTTGCATATTTGAGAAACACATGCACTAGTTTTCTTTCTTGGAAATTAATAAAAATTGGCAAAGACAAGGTAGGAATGGCAGTCAAATTTATCATTGCCATGTGTGTCTCCTTCCCCCTCCCCATGAATGCATGCAGGTAAATTACTTTCCCTTCTTTGAAAATTCCAGGGAGTAACTTTAACCTGGCTTTAACATAGAAACCAAACCGAATAATGGACAGTTACTGGATTGAAAAAACTATCAGAAAGCAGTCAGCTGCATAATTTTTTGCAGTAATATGGTGTGGTTTTTAATAATATTTTCAAATCTTCAGATTGTCTCTCCATAGATGAGATATTTGTCACCACATATACAGTTGTCCTCAGCTCCAGAATCAGAGAGAAACCCTTTAAATTACCCATTCAGACTCAGAATTAAAGTCTAAAACTTTCAAAAGAGAGAACTGTATTATATAAATTTGAATCAGGGTGGAATCAATTGAGTTCAACATTACATTGTCATAAAAAGACTAAAAAAAAAAAAAAGATAAGACAGGAAGGCACAGTAGCCTATACCATTCAGTGACAGGGACAGTTCCCATAGAAAATGGAGTATGTATGTGTCTGGGAGACATGAAGAAATGTATTTATAACAGTTTGGTTATTTAAACAAAAACTCCCTGCACTATTTATGAAGAAATCATTACATTAGGTTTAATATTTATTTTTATTTTAAATTTACTATGTATATTTGTCCTCTTTATTTCTTGGCTATTTCTTCCAAGGGAGAATTCTTGTTATTTGCATCACCAACTCATGCAGTAGGCTAAATCTGTAGATATACCTATGGACAGAGCAAACCTTAATAACATCTATAAACATTTATTGTTTATTCTAAATTACTTTCTTATTTTCAGGTATAATAACTAAACCTTAATAAAATCTATAAAAATGTGTTCTTTAATCGAAATCACCTTTTTACTTTCAGGTATTTTTGGCTGAATACACAGGACCCCTGTTACTATATCTCCTCTTTTATTTGAGGATCCCATTTATATATGATGTGAAAGAGAGCTCTAGAAGGTCCCGCCACCTAGTGGTACAGTAAGTAATACATATGGCACATATAAATTAAAGCATTGAACAAGGATACAGATATTATGTTAATAAGTGTTGTTTGTACAATCAATTACCATGCATTCAATTTTAGGGAAATATATTTAGGCAACCATGAATAATGTTTACATACCAACTTGCAAATTTATAAGCAAGGAATTCAATATAATTTAAAATAGAGGTAATTTAAGTTATTAATACTTACACTTAGCAAGAGAAATCTGGAAATTTAGAAATATCAAAAAAGCTTAAAATTATAAAGTGGAAAGGCCTTGTATAGAGCATAAAATATAAAATATTTCTCTAAAAATATGGACAACATTGCATAGGAAATACATGATTACCTAAGTCATAAACAGGGGGGGAGGGAGGATTTTTTACAAGTTTCCTTTAGTAAGTAAAAATCCAAAGTAAAATTTTACTTTAAAATAAGACATACAGGAAAAAAAAAGAATAGCACAGTCATAAAAACAAAATAAGCAGAACATACAACTATGGCATTTTGTGGAAATAATTAGCCTCTCTCTCTCTCTCTCTCTCTCTCTTTCTCCATACCAAATTAAAGAGAAATATTGTTCAAGATACTACACTGAGATGTAAAAATGTAGGATTAGCAATTTAACACAAAGAACCTGATTAAATGAAAGCATTCTAAGTGAGTTAAGCAGATTTTAGGTCTTAGGGATACTGGAAGACAGAGAATGACTTGACTGTAAATTTGTCATCTCAAATCAAGCTTTTCCTTCCCTTAATGTCTGTACTCCAGCCGCACTGACCTCCCTCCTTGTCCTTATACCTCCCATGTCCCCCTTCACACCGGGCATTTACACATGCCATCCCTATTCCTCCATCCACATCTCCTCCCTCTTCCTTATCTCTCACTCAAACTTCAAATAGAAGCTCAATATTTCTTACTCAGGGTAGCCATTGCGATTCCTTCCATGACAAATATGCTACTAAAGCGCTTTTCTTTTATACATTTTTACTTTAAAATTATATATTCGTGATCATTTGTCTTTCCCTCTATAGAGTTAAAGTTTTGTCATGATATACTTTGATGTTCCATCTATCTTCACTGCTTAACACATTGTCTGATTTACAGGGAATATACAATAAAAATATTTTGAATGGTGAGGTAGATAAACATATTATATACATATTTATTTTACAATGCACTCTTTTAGAGTATAAAAGAGAAAAACCTGACATTGATGGGAGCTCTGAGGTAACTTTTCTAAGAAAGTTGCATTTGAACTTTTTCTTTGTTTTCTGGAAAGATGGTCAGGTCAGTATAGAACAGATTGCTCAGGGGCCTTTGGACAATAACATATGTCTTTCTTTTTGTTAAGTGAAGAGAATAACCAATTCATTTGGAAAGATTATGGGGTGAAGAGTTCATAAGGAGAATGGAATTACACTCAGTTTTTAGACCAAAGATATAACATGTACCAGATTTATAGCACAGCATGGAAAAGGGACACCCCCTCACCCCTGCCTGGTAGTCTCAAAGCAATTGGATGACTGTTGGTTACTATTCTTAAACACAAACACATCATATTTTATAACCTCTCAATAATAAATGTATTTTTGCAATGTAGTTCAAAATAGCAAATATGTTGACTTTATATGAAATCATTCCAGAGCATAAACACACAAATACACAAACTACTTCAGAAATTTAAGTGTCTAGTAGAGCTCTATAAAATAATCACAAGGCTCCTAAGGCAAACAAATTTCTGAATGGATGATATACTTTCTTATGGTTAAAAAGATCAAATTTCAAATGCTATATTCATTTGCCACATACTCTAATGTTAATTCTCCCAAAACACATTGAATCAAATCACAGTCAAAGTATTTTTCAGGTAGGTTTAGATTTATATGTGACTCAATAGCCACACAATTCTTAGAAGCCTCTACACACTATGGCTAAGGCCAAATTACTTGCAGGATCTTTCTTTCCATCTGCACTGAAGGGTGGTCCACAGCTTGATGTAACGGTTATTCTTCAATTCAATCAGTAGTACTTAAGATAGAGGCTACATACTCAAAATTACCAGGGCCCCTCCCACCAGAGGGATTGAGTAAACCAGCTACACTGTGGCTAAGACCACACCTCCTTACAGCTTCTTGCTGCATCATCAGGAATGGAAAAAGATACCAGAGAACCCTTTCTGCACTCAGCATTCATAGTTTGATTATCTGCCTTAAATGCAAGAGGACACATTAGATATTTAGATACATTAGCCCTGTTTAGTTCACCCACCTCATTAACTCTGTATTTTCAGATCATCCCTCAGACACACCACCATGTACGTAGAATTTCTCCTTAACTAACCCCATACTAAATTTCATGTACACTCTCCATGTCAATAAACTCTACTGTCCTCTATTTGTTACCTTCTCTAAGTCCTCCCCAACTCTGGGAATTCTTCCACTGTGACCCGAAAATTCAAAGTCCATTATTAGCAAAATCTCTTCTCTCTTCAGCATTTGTCTGATTATTGCTTTCATATTCTTCCTCAAGAATACCTGATACACTGCCTCCCTTGGTGCTCTGTAAAAGTTGAGACTTTGTAGATAAAATAAACAAACACAAGTTGCATTGGCTCCATAGAAAATGAAATTCAAACTTAATTTATGGCACTTGCTAAAGGACAACCAGACAATGAAAAAGTTACTCTGAATATTATAAAATGTCATATGCATTCTAAGTAGGTTTTGGATATTTTTAAAACTTGTAAATTATCTGCTTCAATTTAGAGTCATTTTGATATGAGCACATTTGCAATTATTATATTCCGGAGCAGGTGTGAATATATAGCCTATGATGAGTATATAATATATTTCTAGTGTCATCAGAAGTAAATTTATAGAGTGTTTTAACAGTACTTTCATTTTAAATAAGTTTTTAAATTTCTAGAATAAAAGTATTAAAAACACCTGCCTGTGTTTTGATTACTGGAAATACTATTTCCTAATATAGAATATCAGAGTGAAATAAAAAAGAAATGCATAAGGAAAGCCATATTTTTAGAAGGGAATTTAATGTGTTCATGTTTTTGTTTTTGTTTCTAGCTTGGCCTGCTTCTGTCATTGTATACACTATATTCGGTATCTTTTGGAAACCTTATTTGTTCATAAAGTTTCTGCAGGGCATACACCTTTGAAAAATTTGATAAAGGTCAGGATTAATATGTTTTACAATTGTAATTATTATTGAGGTATTTTGTGTATTGAACTATTTGCAAAATAATTCAAACATGTTTATTTTCCTCAAGTCTAGGGTTTTTGTTGTTGTGGTTTTTTTTGTTTTGTTTTTTTTGTTTGTTTTTGTCTATTCAACTTATCAGCATATCTTAAACAATCTATTCTGAAATGCCATCCCTTGAAGATGCCTTCATCCAGTAACAGTACATAGAAACCTTTTATTTTGGAAATACTTAGCATCAAATTCAGATTCTTTGAAGAGAAAGAATCTCATATATGAACCCTCCTATAAATATTAAAATAACAATACTGAACCCATTTTTATGATGTTTTTGTTCTTCAAATAAAAGGTAAATGCAAGAGCTATTAACTGTTAAATAACTATCAAGAAAATAGGAAAATTTCTGAAACATTGATATGGAAATATACATTAGATAACATGCCACAATTCAAATGTCCAATTCAAATTTACTTTCCAATTCAAAATTTACTTTCAAAATATATCCTTACTAAAATCTTTTTTTCCCCTCCAAATATCTGTTTTCTAAAAATTTGAACAAGGCAGCCATTTCATTGTTGTCATTTTAAAGAAATACTGAATTCTATAATTCTTAGAAACCTCAGAAATCATTTAGACTAGCTTCTCTTTTGACAGAAGGTATTAAAATGTATTATACAGGGCAAGATCGGTGTTATAGCCTAGGACTTCTAAAATTAGCCGATTGCCCTTTCTAATCAATCAACATATATTACTACTAATGGTTCAAAAATTCATTCTTTTGTTCATTTACATTTGGGAAATGATTATTGATATATCTTATCTAATATATAATTTATTATTTTATTACTTCATATTTCTTCCTGGATGGACAAAATTATTCTTGCAAAATATACTTACATTTACTCTATATCATGAATACCCATTTATATTAATAAGGGTTGAGCAAAGAAATGCATTACTTGAATGATATTAAATAGGTACTTTTAAAATGTTAATTTACTGGGTGAAGAAGCATTTCATTTATCCAACTTAGAAAATGTATACCATTTTTCATGTAAATCTATTGTAGTGTGACATATAAATGTATGGAATGGTTTAAAATGATGGGATACATACTATACACACACACACACACACACACACACACACACACACACACATTCTAAATCTTATCTTGTGTTATTTGTAGGGCTGTGCCTTTTATTGGGGATTCACTTCCTGGATTGCCTACTACATTAATCACCCACGGTATACACCACCATGTATGTAGAATTTCTCCTTAACTATCCCCATACTAAATTTCATGTATACACACTCACTAAAACTAAAAGAAAGAAGTGGAATTGTTAAAACAAATGGTGAGCTTATCAGATAATTATACGTTTTAGTACTTTTGTATATTCCAACTTCCCCACCATGAACATTGGGACATTGTATTAAGTTCCATTTTAAATGTTTTTAGATTGCAAAGGTATCATTCCAAAAAGTCAATTATATAACCCTTAATACTTTTGATTAGAGGGTAGTGATATCCAATGAACCTTACCTGAATTATGTGTGTAATGTAACAATCCAAAATATGAGTCTTTACCTAACATCTTCTCCTCTTTTCTAGCATTTGGAAACAGGCAAGTCACAGTATCAGCTATTAATTTTCTGGTAAGTATGTATGTATTATTATTATTATTATTATTATTAGCTAGTCATGCTCCAATTGTGATATTATTAAAATGCAAAACAGAATATATTTGAGTATTTGTCTATTAGATAATGTGACCTATTTTTATATAAAGTGCCTAATGGTATTAAATGAAGTATTTAATATGACTTTCCATTATTAAGTCATTAATTCTCTAAATCTTTTAATCAAAATGTTCTACTCATCTATGAAGGATAATTAGAATTATTTTGAGGATAGTAAGATTGGAAAAAAAATTATATTCAGTAATTCTTATTGTCTGCAAATTTACCAACTTATATTTAAGAGCAAAAAGTTTTATAAGTTTAACATATGAACATCCAAAACCATTTTAGCATAATTGTTAAAACATAATTATGAAAACATTGTCAGCTTTTTTTTTAAATGAAACATGGAAAATTTCCTAATTGTTCTCAGTTTAGTGCTTTAGATCATTCTATTTAACTTACCAAGTGATAAACCTGGTAAGTCTAGTACCATTTGGCACCGTACATAATTTTTACAATATATTATTGACTATATTCCCTATGCTATATTTTACATCCATGTGAGCTTTTGTACCCCCTCTCCTTTTATTGAATTTATTGGAGTGACACTGGTTAACAAAATTATACAGGTTTCAAGTACACAATTCTAAAGCATATCATTTGTACGCTGTATTGTGTGTTCACCACCCCAACTCAAGTTTCCATCCATCACCATTTATCCCCCATACACTTTTCCACTTCCATCTACCTTCCCTCCTCTCAGCTCTCATCATGAAGTAATTCATGTTGATGCTTTTATTGCTAACCTATGCTGTACCAAGTCTAATGCTCTCTGTGGAGTAACTACTTAGTAAATTTGAGCAAATGGAAGAATGAATTAATTGATAAACAAAACAAAAAGCACATATTTGATCTCTATTTAGATGTGTTTTTATATCACATCTGATTGTTTCTCTCATCCTCATCTTCCTTATGATTTCATTTTTTTATTTTTTGTAATTTCTTTACTATTATTTATTCCTGTGTAAATATTTACACTCGTCCCATTTTCTTGATTTCTTCCCTTTCTCCAACAAAGTATGACTATGAATCCATGGCTCTAGTATAAAATAATTTTTTAAAAGTTATAGCTTTTTCAAAAATTCATGTCATTATTGTTATAGTATTTTTCTTAAAAAGTTCAACAAAATAAGTCAGACATGAAAAAGTCAAGAAGCATTTTACTTCACTCAATGTGGTATATAAAACTGAAAGCAACAAGTAAAAACACACAAGAAAAAACAAACAAACAAAAGTTCATAGACACACACAACAGTATCGTGATTACCAAAGGGAACGGGGTGAGGGTAATAAAGAATAAATGGGGTCAAGTATGTGGTGACAGAAGACTTGACTTTGGGTGGTGAGCACACAATGCAATACACAGATGTTGTGTCATAGAACTGTACACTTGAAACCTGTCATTTTATTAACCAATGTCAGTCCAATGAATTTAATTTTAAAAGTTAAAAGGAGACATATTTTAAAACAAGTAAAATTCTAGTAGTTTGCATTATACATCCCCCCACCAAAGACTTTAAAAAATTCTAATTTCTTAAGTTACTAATGCTTCTTTTTCACACATGCCTTTGTTAATCAATATTCTTTTATATATTTCCCATGTAAAAATTAATAATATAATAATAAATAGAAGAATTAGGCAAAGAGTGAACTTTTAACACAGTTGCTATCTTCTAAAGGCCAAGATGCCAAACTAAATAAATATTGATACAGAGAAGCATAGATTATGTCCAATACAGATGTACTGATAACTTTAACTCCACATTTCTAGCACATAACAAGCATTATCTGTTTCAATCATAGACTTAAAATAAGACAAAAAAGAATAACCTCTGTTTTTAATTATATGTAGCTTTGAGGGTATGGGAAAACCTTAATTAAAAGTCAAAATTTTGAACGTAATTGTATTTCATTGCAAATAGAAATTTAGAAATTATACAAAAGGTCCATTGTGACTCTTAAAATTGTCAATCGTGATGACAAATTATAAAGACCTTCTAGATCTGGGATTTCTTAATCATTATCAATGTAGAGGAGACCCTTAATTTTCATAAATAAAATATGGTATTACGAAAAGAGTTTTATGAAACTGATTCTAATATTCTAATAGAGGATGTAACAACTAATGAATTGATCTAACAACTAATGAATACGTGTATAATCAACATCTTATAGTTCAAGGTTCATCTTATAGTTTTTTTTTCATTTATAATAACCAAATCCAAAAGTGTGAACCTTTAAGATTTATCACAAAGAACATATGTGCAAATAATTGGAAAGAATAAGTAACCTGTTTTTAAGCCCAATGAATTGTAAATTATTTTATATTAAAAACATCAGTATATAGGAGAATCAATTGTTATATATAAGGAACCAAGGGGAAATTCCTGGGTCAGTCTTCCATAATTTAAAATTCAGGCAGACAAAATGGTTATCTTAATTGCAAGTGCTAACTTTCTGCTAATAAAATGTTATGTTTGCAAAATTTCCTATTCTTCATTTACTGATCTCTGTACTCTCAACACAAGGGTGAAGGGGACACCATTCATTTAAAGTTGGTTTTACTCAGCAATTACTGAGAAGAAGAAAAAAAAAAAACAGCAACAGTTTCACAAGGATGATATAGATAGTGCCATGCCATGGGCTTTAAAGGGAGTGAGGCTTTCCATTTCAGTCTGGGGGTGGGATGGAGAAGAAAGCTTTCCAGAGACTGTACATACACAGTGGGCCTGAAAGGATGCACTGGATCATCCTCCCAAAATGAAATGGTATACAAATTTTAAATAATGCAAAATTACATTCTTACAGCCAACCATAGTTAACAGTTCAGTCAACATTCATAGAAATGTAAATGTAGTCCATAAACTAAAATCAAAGTAAACTTTAGAGCCCTTGTTAAATGAGAAAATTCAGTGTTAAGTAACAACAAATATCCCTGTGTTTTCTCATCACTTCTAAGTGACACCAGATGCACTAAAAGCACTTTGAGGAAACACGTGTGGGGTGATTTGGTGCATATCTCTTGTACAAAGGACATCTCATTTCCTTCGAAAATAATAAATGAACTCCAGAAAGAGTGCACCTCTCAACGTTGCAGAGAACAAACTGCGTTTTGTTGTACCTGGCATTTAATCCAACTACCAGACCCAATGGGCATGAGTTTATCTAAACTGAGATGAGTGATAACTAAACATTTCAACCTCAGACTTGAGTGTTTTGGTGTAACATATAAAATGCACTCAGGTGGGACCTTAACTGAAGTATTCTGTCCCTGCCCTTGGTTTATGTTTAGTACTTTGTTAGAAAGTTTCCTTTTCTTTAAAAAAAAAAGAGAGAAAAGAAAAAAATAGATAACTACACAAAAACCACACTCCATGAAGTACCTCTGCCTTTCAGTAAAAAATATAGAGAGTTGGAAGGAATACTATTCCCACTTTTATAATAAAAAAACTGACCTAACTGCCAAAAAAAAAAAAAATAGACAGATTATCACCCGGTAAGAAGATGATATATTAGAACACAGCTAAATATGATTGTAGTTAATTCTTAATTACTCATATGTGAATCATCCATTTTGTGAACTAACCATTAAGAATTATAATTTTCTTTTTGTGCTTACTCTGTTTTTTTTTTCTATTGCTATTCTGAGGTTTCTAATATACTAAACAGAATATATTGTAAGCACAAAAAATAAAACCCCTTTTCAATGGATTCCTAATGCATTCAAAAGTTAAATAGTAATAATACCTTGTGGAAAATCTTTTATTTTGATGAGTTTTGTCATGTTTACACAATATTATGAGAACTATATCATTACCTTCTCCCTTTGTGTTAATTCTTTCAATATAACCTTTTCCTTCACATGTGTCTGCTATTACAAAATCTACAAGGAAAAAAGTCAAACAAATAGAATCAAATACAGTATTGGCAAATTTATAAAGACATCAGAATATCTTCCCTACAACTTTTACTGGTAGATGTTACTTTGTTTTTCTGCTGAATATTCTGTGAATATTGTGGACACACTGTAATCCAGCCTCTTCATATTTCTATGACCCCTTTTCATCCTCTAAACCCAACTCCACTCACCAAACAACAAATAAAAGCACCAAATTCACAACTGCAAAACAAAACAAGTTTTATAATTTTTAAGATTTTGTTATGATATAACTAACAATTCTGTTTTCTTTAACTACGCTTCCTCTCAACTTTATTCTTACTCCCCAGAAGCAATGTTGTTCTGTTGATTCTTTGTACATTAAACATTTCACCAGAAAAATAAATGTTTCTTTCCTTACTGTCTCTTCAAAAATGTAGGCTATGGGAGGAGTAGTTAATAACATACAGGTTTGTAAAGTACAGAACTAACTCCTATCCCTGGTTTGCCTCTGTCTTCAGTCTCATCATTAGTTATCCACTCACTTAGGTTAAGTTTTTTATTAAAATGCAAATATTCTCAGAGAGTAATAAATAATACTCTCATCAAGTAGTCATACCTTCTCCTGTAACATTTAGCTGGGAAGGACATTGGACATAGGACAGATTTTTTTATTAAAGGAACAATGTATCATCGCTTTTAATTATAGTAGGGGAGAGTGTGGCCTGGTTGTGGAAAGCACAGAAAGGCTAGGAAACTGCTTATGAATATTTGGTGTTTGTGGATGAGATGAGAGAGAGAGAAGTAAAGTATGCCAATGTTAAGTGCTTTTATTCTCAGCCCTCTCTTTAAATTTGGTTGTGACAATTTTTCTGGTAACTATTATTAATAAAAGTTTACATTTACTTTTTATTAAAGACAAAAAAATCCAAGACTGTTGTTTCCCAACATTTGTCAGTTTAGTTTCCTCTCAAATCCTGAGGGAGATAATATAAACAATAACATGCATAGGAATTAAATGTTATACCTAATTTGG